GTGCATATCTCTGAAGGTCACGAAATATAAACCTGATGTAAAATCTCTGTCATCAGTGATGCAGCAGCAAAAGTCCCACTGATAATATCAAAACGAGTCATAAAGTTTTCTGTCGGACTATCAGTGTACATGTATTCATTAAAAAATAAGTGTATTTTTCATCATCATATACTGTGTTTTTTTCGCTTGAATGAATTTTATTATGTTTTAAAGGTTCTTCACATACGTACACCTTAAGAGATATCAAGTAGGCGTAACATGTTCTCAAAAAATTAGGGTTGGCATGCAGAAGAATTTTGAGTCAGATTTTGCTGGTTTTGGCACGTACTCACAAAAAGTTTGCCCACCCCTGCTCTAGATTATATTTTTTATCTGTTTCTTTAGTCATGGTTATATTCCATGCCTTTAAGCATGGATTTGTGTTGGAGGGATAGACCATTACCAGAAAAGAATAATAATAAACTATTATTATTTTAGAGGGTGAACAACAATGAGATGATTTCAAGCATCAGTTTCCCCCGCCCCCTCCTATGCGCATGTTTGTGTCCTCAGCACCTGGCAGAGTGCTTGATAGAGTAGGTATTTAATACACACTTATTGACTTCTTCTCTGAAAGATGAGTATTTGGCTCACTTTTTCTTTTCCTCTCCTTTCAAATATTTACAGTTTAATTATTTTGAATTATTCTACTGATCTTTTCTGCAATTCTAATGCTATGTTTACACATCTATATTTGTGTGTGTGTGTGCTTTCAACTAGCCACAGAATCTCTTGGCTCCCCACTCATGGGATAAGGACTCCAATATCCCAAGCCTGTCCTTCACCTTCCCTCATTGTTGCTTACCATGGTTAATCATCTACAGCTTTATTTTTATACTAGAAGCCCGATGCGTGAAGATTCATGCAAGAATAGGCCTTCCTTCCCCTGGCTGCCTTTACGCCTTCACACGCTGCCCAGAGGCCCAGAGCGGCCGGGGTGGGGCGGAACACCTGCATTGTTGCCATGGCGATGACGCAAGCTTCCCGGCCCAGCTGCCACCATCTTTGTTGTGTCAATTTGCATATTCCCTCCTTATTGGCTGTGGACGCCAACATCTTTGTTGTGAAGTGATGGTCAATTTGCATATTCCATCTTTATTAGATAGGATTGTTAAATGTGTTGATATTTATATTCTTTTCCTGAAACAACAGCCATGTTAGCTATGCTTTTCCTCCCCTCCCTGACTCTCAGGATCACACATGATAATGGCTACAAACTGCTCATATAAATAAAACTTTGAAAATCTTTGCCTTTAGACTACCCTCCTGGAGGTTCTATCAGCAGATGGCTTCTGCAAAGCTTGCCATCTGAGGCCTGTGGCCTGCACTCATCCTGTACTTGTTTTATTTGGCCTATGTAATATCTTATACATTTGAGCTGTCATATAAACACTGGATGATTTCATGTTGACTCTAAAAGTGAAGAACCAGTGAACAGCATTTATAATATTATGTTCATTTTTATATAATGGGATAGGAACAGATTTCTTTTCTATAGGAAGAATGTCACCATACTGGGTTGCCCTTAGGAGATGTGTTTCTAGCTTTTTGAGTTTTACATTACACCAGCTAGTGTATGGAGTTCCCCTTTTCCCAGAATTTTCTTCTCCTGGAGGCATTCTATCATCCTGCTTTAGTCTGTACAGGCTGGTCTCTGGGTTGTCTGTATTTGAGTGCGTTCCCTTATTCTGGAGCCCCTGCTGTTTGGAGGCTGTTACCTCTGGAACTGGTCTTTTATTTGCCTCTTATCATTCATATATTCTGCCCATGTCTTTTTCTCTACACTTGAAAATATTTTATGCTGTTTAAATTTAGCAATTTTAATATAAATCTCTAAAAAGTGCTCCCACGTTCTCCAGTTGACACTTTTCTCAAGATTCCTAGCTTTTCTAATCTCTCCGAACATGTGAGAGGTTTCGCTTTTGCTTCCTGAGTGATGTTAAATTTCCTGTTTTCTCATTTTATCATGATACTTTTTCACAATGCTTGTTCCCCTCCTATGCCTAATGATTGTTGTTTGTTCTTGATGATGATTAGATGAAGGGGTGAGTAGGCAGTGTGGAAGTTACTTTTCAATTGTCTAAATAGGTATATTTTCCTTTCAGGTCTCTGCCCTGAATGGGATTCTGACTTGGAGCTCTCTGTGTGATAAGGCATGGAGTGCCTTATGTGAGGCTATTGCTTAGGGGTGAGTTTGTGGATATATTCTAGTTGTTTTCAGCATCAGGATCTCCCTTATTCTAGTGAGCCTGATATTTTGCATTGACTGGAGAGCTGGAAGCTATATATACCCTAGACTCCCCAGCAGCCAAGATTCTAGGAGGGAAGCAGGTTCTGCACATTAGAAAAAAGACCTTTCTGCTGACATGTGCCTCTGGGCAACGAAGGGTGCCGGAGATGCACCTCAGCAGGAATGTTTCAGTCTCTCTGGAGCTTGTCAGGATGTAGGTAGCAGCTCTTTCCTGACCCCCTTTTTTAAAAATCTGTCTGTTCATGAGCTCAGTACTTTTCATGGTTCTGCTTTTTGCAGAGGTAGCAACTGTTCTTGGGGATTAGTTCCATACTGTTCTGAGAGTCATGTCTAAAAGCTGACTATAGATCCCGCTGTTCCATCACTTCCAATTGATTTTATAATCACCTAATTCCCTTCATTTACTCCTGTGGTGCTTAAGAAAAACAAACAACAAAAACCAACTCAGAGTGGTTTCTATTTCCTGTACAGACTCTAGACAGACAGAATGAATGGTGACCTGGGAATCAGGCTACAAGTCCTCTAAAAGAGATGCGGAGAATATTATTCAGGAAAGTTGCCTTTTTTTCCTTTTCCTTCCTGTCTTTTAGATTTAAAATTTTTTCTTTTTGTTAAAAGTATTATAGATGTCCCCTGTGTCCCCCATGGACCCCCTACACCCCACACATTTACACTAGCTTTCTTGATAATTTCTTGAGAGGGGCCATTTAGGGTTGGGATAGGCTAGGGTAAATAGCAGGTACTTGTGTTCTGAGTTGAAGTAGGGGAGAAGAGCAAGGGGATATCTGCTCCAGTTCTTTTGTGCACAAATCTTCAGTTAATTTCACTGTTTTCAGACCTATATTTTACTTTACCCTCCATTATATCTGCTCCATTATAACTCTTTGGTTCCTGCATAGTTTATTCTCTCTCTCCTGTTTATATCGTGAGAAATGATCCATGAACTTCCATCTTCCAGAAATTTGTTGAAATATTGACCTACTAGTAACATCTCATACCCATTTTCCTGATGATTGGTTCAATATTTGTATTTTATTAGAATACTAGAGGCCCGGTGCATGAAATTCGTGCATGGGGGGGGGGGGGGGGGAAGGGGTCCTTTC